CTGGGACCGGCTGCCTGGGACCTGCTGCCTGGGATCTGCTGCTTGGGACCTGCTGCTTGGGACCTGCTGCTTGGGGTCTGCTGCCTGAGACCTGCTGCTTGGGATCCACTGCCTGCCCCACAGCATCCCTGGGGATGCTCCCAGCAGCCCATGGCTTCCTTTCTGTCCTTGCCACCCTCTGAAGCCAGACAGGATCACGAGCTGATAGGAATTTTTAAAACTCATAGAATCAGAGGGGTTGGAAGGGACCTCTGAAGATGAAGCCCAACCCCCCTGCTGCAGCAGGAACACCCAGGGCAGGTCACACAGGAACGTGTCCAGATGGGGTTGGAATGTCTCCAGAGAAGGAGACTCCACAGCCTCTCTGGGCAGCCTGGCCCAGGGCTCCATCACCCTCACAGGGAAGAAGTTTCTCCTCACATTGAGGTGGAACTTCCTGTGTTGTCACTTGGTGCTGTTTCCCCTCGTCCTGCCACAGGCACCACTGAACAGACACTGGCCCATCCCTGACACCCACCCTGCAGACATTCATAGTCATTCATCAGGTCCCCTCTTGGTCTTCCCTTCTCAAGACTAACCAGCCCCAGGTCTCTCAGCCTTTCCTCACCTGTCTGGTGAGGTTCCAGTCCCTTCATCAGCCCTTGTGGTTGGTGGCTGAAGTATCTACAGCCCTGAGCACACAGGGAGCAAAATGAGGCATCTCAGGGGTCACCTTCCACCTTCTCCAGCCCTGGCTGTGGAGATGGGACATGGGCTGCACTCACGTTTAAATGTTTTTTCTTACTTCATCATACAAGTTATTTTAGACTGAAGCTTTTCCTTCTGTTTTCATTTTTAAAAATTTTTCCTAGTTTTCATGTGTTAGTTTTTCCTCACAGAGGCTGATTTTTTTTTTCCAGGAAAATTCTAGTAGTTTAGATGGAAGTAAGAGGGTTGTTTGATTTTTTTTTATTATTTTTTTTGTTAGATTATTGTAATTACAGTTTTTGACTCTGACAAATGAAGATATTCTGAGGTTAAGCCTTAGCAACCTCCCTGTGAAAGACATACATTCTCAATGTGTAGAATCCCCATCTGATGCCAGTCATGCTTCAGGCAACTGCAAGCCATTGTCATGTCTCCTGGTGTGACTCTGGTGTTGTCAGGATCATTATTTAGTCATTATTCATACTGGCCTCTGCAACCCTCCTGCAAGTGAATGCTGCTTTGCTTGGCATCAGTCACCTTGAGAGAATATGTTCATAAGTGCCCTTCAGTAGTATTTTCCCTTTCCTGTACCTGCTTTTATAGCATAAGTGCTTCCAAAGTGTAAAGTCCCTGTGTTTCTGCCCTGCTCCCTCAAATTCTTTAAAGGGTTCACAGACATCGTAGGCTCAAAAAGGACATGAGAGCAAAGTTGCCACATTGCCCCTCTTATGGATATGTGCACATTAAGCAGAAGTGGGTGCTTAAGCAACCTATGTAGTTTAAGCTAAAGCAAAACTTCTCTGACTGTGTTTATTTAGAAGTGCACTCTAAGTTCTAAGTATAAACAACCAAACTTCAAATGTGAGTTTCAGGTAGGCAAATTGTTTAAGGAAGAAGCCTTTTATATATATACATATGTGTGTACAGAGAGAAGATACAGTTCCAGTATATCAATGGAGACTTCCTGATGTGGGCTTTTGGCTCAGAATAGACAGTTTTGGGGATATGAACCTGTTATACACATGGAGGAACAGAAATAGGAAATAATTAGGCCTGAATATTTCCCTTCCCCTAGGTTTAGTTAGGAACTGGGAAGTGAGCAGTATATAGCCTTATTTCTCAGCTGCTTTTACCAAAATCACCATATACTTTGCACAAACTTCTTTGAAGAGGTCAGAAAGAATAAATACATGGAGTCTTCTTAGTGTGAGAGTCAAAGTAGTTAACATCTTGGAAAATTTTTCTAGTTTTTAATGCATTTGTTAATACTCATTAATGATCACTTCTCTATATAGGGCAATATATACATTTCCTTCCTGGTATTCCCATGAGTCTTTTCTTGTTTTGGAAAGTGGAGACAGAAACATAGTTTTTTTTCCTATGGCTTGTAACTGCAATGGTATATATTTATAAAGAACAGAATTATTATGTGTGTCTTCAAGTGCTGTATATAAACTTCAGCATGCTGATCTACAGCGTTTAGAAAGTGCTGAGGAAGGGGGTCAGATTTCTGGTGTTTTTATTACAGAATTTAATTAGTGGAAGAAGGTTGATTAACAAAATAAAGAAAACTTGATGTAAAAGATTTAAAAAACTTTAAACAAATACCTATAATTATGTTATTTAACTTTTGACAATATGCTTTAATGTATTAAATAATGTTTTCATACCAATATATATATTCTTATTCTTACCAGGGTTATTTATTATATAGAGATGCGAATAATCACAGTATGACAGCCATAAGAATAAACCCAGAAACTCTGGAACAAGATGGTACAGTTGCTTTGCCAGGTATGAACCTCCAGATATGAGAAGATGGTTATAGTTTACTGATTACATGCTGTGTATTTCTAGATAAGCTGAAGAGACATTGAGATAGGTTTTGAGATCACAAAGATGATTTTTTGTGACTTCAGTTTGCTGCATCAGACCAGCTGCAGCATTTCCTTCAGAGGTCTTGCATGGTACTTCAGCTATGGGAAGAGTCATAGAATCAGAGGGGTTGGAAGGGACCTCTGAAGATGAAGCCCAACCCCCCTGCTGCAGCAGGAACACCCAGGGCAGGTCACACAGGAACGTGTCCAGATGGGGTTGGAATGTCTCCAGAGAAGGAGACTCCACAGCCTCTCTGGGCAGCCTGGCCCAGGGCTCCATCACCCTCACAGGGAAGAAGTTTCTCCTCACGTTGAGGTGGAACTTCTTGTGTTGTCACTTGGTGCTGTTTCCCCTGGTCCTGCCACAGGCACCACTGAACAGACACTGCCCATCCCTGACACCCACCCTGCAGACATTCATAGTCATTCATCAGGTCCCCTCTTGGTCTTCCCTTCTCAAGACTAACCAGCCCCAGGTCTCTCAGCCTTTCCTCACCTGTCTGGTGAGGTTCCAGTCCCTTCATCAGCCCTTGTGGTTGGTGGCTGAAGTATCTACAGCCCTGAGCACACAGGGAGCAAAATGAGGCATCTCAGGGGTCACCTTCCACCTTCTCCAGCCCTGGCTGTGGAGATGGGACATGGGCTGCTCCACAACAGCCAGTGGTGCCCAATAACCCGGCTGGGGGTGCCCAGTTCACCACTGCTCCCAAAGGAACAGGTTTTTGTGGCTCTTCCCTCACCTCTGGGCTTTCCATCTCACCCACAGGCCATCACCTGCAGCTGCTTCATCCCTCTGTACTTTGGGTTGATACCTCCTACGTTCCGTGGGGTGGTGAGTAGCCTTATGGGCTGGAGAACCTATCCCAGGTCAGGCTGGGGACCCACCTACTCTGTGTCCTTTGGCAGTGGTGCCATTCAGCATTATTTACACCCACATTTGCCACCAAAGTTGCTTGATGTTGCCTTCACACAGAGAGGAACTGAGCCCAGGTGCCCCACAAGATGACCTGAGAAGTGACTTCCTCACACAGGCAACCCCCGCCAAGCCTGCCCATGGGGTTGGCTCAACTCCTTTCCTCCCAGTTTCACTCAGGAGTGATGGAGAGAGGAGCTGGTGGGTGCAGCCCTGGAGCCCATGGGACAGAAGTCAGAGCTGTCCCCTGCAGAGAACAGAACCCTCCCACCACAAACCTGCAGAAATGGGCTAAGTATTTAATGCCCCATCATTCCAATCAGCTGGGTTTGCTTTATTAACCCCCCCCATCTCTTCAAGCAAACACACCTGGTGCTGCTCCCTCTGCGTGAGCTTGGAGCTAATGGCAAAGGGAGGCAAAGCTGCAGCCTGGCTGGGGTCAGGGTGGGGAAGAAGCCCCAGCTGGATGCAGGTGTGTGAGCCAGGTCTCTCCTGGCTGAGGACCCCTGTGCTCTCTCCCAGAGGTACGTGGATGGGGAGCTGGCCATGTGGCAGGCTGATTTCTTGTCCCCAAGCACCATCACCATGTCCGGGCTGGCCGGCGAGTACGACATCTGTCCCAGGGAGGGCCCAGCTGCCTTCATCACCTTCCAGATCTCAGATTGCATCTTGCTGATCTCCAAGAGGAACTTCTGCCGCCTCCAGTGTCTCCTGTGCCTCCCCAAACACGAAGTGAGCTGCTGCTCCTGCAGGTACCCAGAGCAATGAGGCCCCTCTGGCTGGCCCATCTGCCCTGACTGCCACCTTCCCCTGCAGGTTCTGGAGCAGATGTATCTCCATGGCTACCAGGATGGAGTCTCCTTCTTAAGAAGGCTGGGTAAGTGAGGAACAGGTAGTTCAGGTGCTTCTCTTACAAGGTTGGTTTGCTGAGGTGCAGCCAGAGCATCACCCAGCATGACCAGGGCAGAGACATCTCTGCATCCCTGGCATTGCCAGGATGACTTGAGTCCCATCCTCTCTGTGGCCTCCCCTGAAGGTCCCTCTTCACCCCTTCCCCTCTGAAGACATTAAGTCCCATTTTTTCTGCCACACTGGGCAGAGCTTTCCAGGGAATGCAGGTCCCCAGGACCTGGGGAGGGGAAGTGTCCTTCACTGTCCTGCACACAGGCTGGAGTGCCCTGAGGACCCACTGGTGCACAAAGCAGCAATGGTTGGTGATCCTGACCCAAAAACCCAACTCAGATGAGCCAAGCACCGTGGTCACCAGCCCCCCTGCCTTCCAGCCAACCCTGGCCAAGCCTCGTGTTGCTGGAGACCTGGGAGCTGAGTGACAAGCAGTGAGAGCTGGATTCTCTCCCCACCAGGTAAATTTGACATCAATTACGCTGATGAGGACTTCATGCTTTCGTTGGCCAATGAATTATATCAGAAAGGTGAAGAGACCCTAAAGTTGAAGCTAGAAGCAAGAGTGCTCCACTCCAGATCCACAGACCCTGAGGATGTCACTGCAGAGAACCCAGGGACCATCTGGGCAGCAGATGAAGAGGAAGCCCCACAACACCTTCTCCACCAGCAGAAAGGTAGAGGACCCCATCATTTGTGGTAAATGACACTTGCCCAGGGCTCTCAGAGCCAGGAGAGGCTGTCTGGGATCTTGCAGGCTCCAGTAGGTGAGAACATCAGGAATGGGAGAGAGTTCCCTCTTGTGTCTGTGGTTAGGAGCAAAAACCTCCTGCTGAGCTCTGTTTGGATGAGGATTGAGGGCTCAGGCTGTGGCCAGGTGGGGTGGAGAAGTAGCTCTTGCTGAGAAGAAAGCCAAGGGCTCACCCTGCAAGGAACCAGCAGGTTCTGCCCACACATCACTTCATTCTGAGTGAGGGAAGGAGCAGCATCTCAGAGCTGGCTTGGCCCTGACACCCAGGCCAACATCTCTGCTCAGTGACCCTGCTGTGCAAACCCTCAAGTGCAAGAAAAGCTTCCTTAGAGATGCAGGGAAAGCTCTACCTGCATCATTTCTTAAACCTGCCTTCTCTGGCTTAAAAAAAACCTTCTCATTTTCTGCAATCCTGAGCAAAAAATGATGCCCCCTCCCCTTCCAGTTTTGCCACAGAAACCTGTGAGCCCTCAACATTTCCAGACCCCTTCTTGGATACAAAGAATGATGTTCTGGACATCAACATCCCTTTCAGTGTTCTTCTTTATTTTCTTTCTGGGTCTTTCAACCTTTCAGGATTTGTCAGCTTAGGAAAAGTTCCCCAGTTTTTCCAACACCAGGATGGTTTAAAAATGTTGCTGGAGAAATAAAAAGTGGGGGAGAGGGGGAACCCCCACATATTGTTCTGCTCTATCTAAGGAACACACCAAATGAGGAACATAAAGGGGAAACAACAGGACCACTAACATTCCAGCTCTAAAAAAGCTTGGGAGATTTAAAAAAGAAAGCAAAGAAGAGATTTCCATGGAAAACAAGACAATTCCATCCATGGGAAGAGGCCCAGTGTAGAAATTCAGGCCAGTATTAGGCTGTTTGCTTCCAAACTTGGTGGGTTTTTTTAAAGGCTTCGCCAGTCTGAGCTCCATGGAGCTTTTGAAAGCAACATTTTGGTGTTGGAAGGAGGTTTCTTTGGAGGTTGGGCAGCCTGGGGGCTGCCAGGAGCCTCCTGCCCTCTGGTTTGCAGCTGGGTTGTTCTGCACTGAGCTCAGGTCACCTGTGGGAGTAATCAAGACTCGTTTGTTGGGTCAGAGAGCAACCAGGAGGTGAGTCAGGGCTCTCAGTCTCCACATCAGGTTTTGGGAAGGAAAAGGCCTGATGGTCTAGGCCAGGAAAAGTCCATTTTACTGTTTATCTGCACAACACTGTGATATCCTTGATGGAAGCAAAGAAGGGTATGAACCTGTGAACCATTTGTGCCTGTTTCCCTGGGGAAATCAGAGGATGGATGAGCAGTTTGACCACAAGGGGTTCTCCTTGTTATCCCAGTGGCCCCCAGGACAGTTGGACCATGAGCTGCACCCTCCTGAGGAGCTGGAGTGGGAGCAGAGTCTGGCACAAAGCACCAGCAGCCAAGGACACAGGCAGGACTGGGGAGATGCTGGTTTATTTGGCTGGGCTGCATGGGTCATGGATCATGCCCCAGGGCTCCCTTTCCCACTGGATCTGCAGAGGTTTTGAGGGAGCTCCTGCTGCCTTGGGTTGTCTCCAGACTCATCCCATCCAACCTCAGGCTTCATGTCTCTGCTGGGTTGGATGCAGCCCTGGGCAAGGACAGGGCAGGGGCAGGAGGGCAACGTTTGAAGGATCTCAAAACCTGCTTATCCTGGAGAGAGCAAGAGGGAGGGAAACAGCCCTGGTGGGGTGTCTGAATCCAGCCTGTCCCACTGGAGCTGCCAGAAGCATCTGGCAGATTGACCCGTGTGATTTTCCTCTCTTTAGGGCCCCTCCAGCCACAGAAGAGCATCTTGGGGGCCAAAGGCAGCAGTGGGGTCACTTCATGCTCTGAAGAGAGAACAACCAACCTGCAGCTAGACACCAAGATGCACTGAAGACCAAACTGTGGCAGCAAAGTCACCAGCACAAGCAGAGCCACAACCCCCTTCTTAGCCCCTCTAGGCCCCAGGTGATTCCCATAACCCACCTAACACCTATTGCTGCTGGTTTGAACTGGGTGCAGCTGGGCTTCCCCTCCCTGGGGGTGAAGCAACCTCCTTGAGAGCCAAGAGATGTCAAACTTTGCCTCCTTTTGCCATTAGCTCCAAGCTCATGCAGAGGGAGCAGCACCAGGTGTGTTTGCTTGAAGAGATGGGGGGGTTAATAAAGCAAACCCAGCTGATTGGAATGATGGGTCATTAAATATTTAACCCATCTCTGCAGGTTTGGATCAAGGTTGGTTGGTTGGTTGGTTGGTTGGTTGGTTGGTTGGTTGGTTGGTTGGTTGGTTGGTTGGTTGGTTGGTTGGTTGGTTGGTTGGTTGGTTGGTTGGTTGGTTGGTTCTGTGACCTTTTTGGTTTGGGTGGTCCTTGTAGGCTGTATTTTTCTGAAAGTTCTCAAGGTTTTACTCACTTCTGAAGACCAAGCAGGTGGGGTGCACTGGGTACTTGAAACTGTGCTCCTGCTTGTGGCTGATGTTTGCAGACAAGTTCAGTGGGTTTCTTAGGGTGTCCAGTTCCTAGATGAGCATTTTCTTGGAGGGATTTGAGTTCCCATGGGAGGAGGGTCAGTGCAGCTGCCTGAGGGTGACTGGGATGGTTCCATCCTGCCTGGAGGGGATGGTGCTGGAGGGACCAGGGGCTTGGCTGGTGCAGAAGGGGAGGGAAAGCAGGAGAGCAGTGTGAGCAAAAGCAAAGGAAGGGCTGGCTGGCCCTGCTCCTGCCCTGGGAGACACGGATGTACCCTCTGCACCCTTTCCACTCTGATCCATGGCAGGAATGTAGTCCCAGCTCCAGGGCTGGGTTTGAGCAGCTTTGGCTTCAGGAGTTGAGATACAAATCCAAGCAGGATGGAATGGGGGAGACAGGAGCAGGTTTTGATGGGTCCAATAAGCATCCAGGTTTCTTTCAGCAGAGAAAATATTCCCAGGGCATTGAATAAAACCAGAGATAGCAGCACATCTTCTCTCCATGATTCTCTGAGCATTCATAGACAGCTCCAAATCTGCTCCCATCAATGCAGCCTTCAGCTCTTCCCACCTTCCTGACCCTGCAGCCTCTAGAGCACTTGGGATGAAACCTCCCTGTGGGGGCCTGGATCTAGATGGTCTTTAAGGTCCCTTCCAACATGAACCATCCCATCATTCTATGATGGAGCTCAAGGTAATTGGTAAAATGGCTCCAGGGAAGTGGATAAAAATGAGCTCTTCCCAGTGTGCTGCTCCCTGAGGCTTTTCCCCCTCCCTGTTTTCTGATGGTTCAGTCTCTCTGCAAGTTTATTGAGTGGGAGGGAAACACTCAAAATGTGACATTCCCTGGCAAATGCCTGCCCTGGGGTCTGCAGGAAAGCAGGAGGAGGGACACTGCTGGTGAGCAGCAGGTGGAGTGGCCAGGGGCACCAGCAGCCAGGCTCCCCAGGATGCCCAGTCTCCCCTGCACAGACTCATGTCCAAGCAGCTCAGGCCTGAGCAGAGAAACTGCAGCAGCACTGGGAACAAAATCAGCTGCTTTCCTCAAGAACCACCCCAAAAAAAACTCCATGAAAAACCCAAACCAGCAACCAAACTGCTGTGGGAAAAAAGCTCCAGTGCCACCCACTGCATCCCAGGGCAGCAGAACCAGCAGGGACCTCCAGGGCCCAGCCAGGATGGTTACCTGAGGGAATCAGCTGGGAATGAGTTGGGTCAGGGTTGATTTCCCAGCAGGGACAAGCAGCCCCAGGGACATTGGATGCTGCAGGACTTTTTTCCAAGGCTGAGGAATGGTGCAGCTCCTGCAGAAGGACCATCCTGTGCCAGGCTTTGCCAGCTGCACGTGAAGGAACTTGCCAGCAGGTCTCAGAGGGTTATGGCTTAGGAGTTGTGTGACAAGTTAAATGCCTTGAAGCCTGGAGAGTTTAGTGCCAAAAACACCTCCCAGGATCTTTGTTGAATGTGTCTGATGTCCTGCCAGGACTGAGCCCAGCAGGGAAATGCTCTGGAACAAGAATATGTTGCTGTAGGGAAGCAGCACGAAACTGCTTCACAGCTGCTGCCAGGGTAAGGTGACATTTTGGGGTGTTATTCTCATCATATTCCAAGGACAAAAAAAAAAATGGCTGCTTTTCTTCTGGTGGACCCCAGATGTGGGATCTTTAGCCCCACGCAGTGACCCATGGGTGAGGTCCCCTGGGGTTCCCTGCCCTTCCTCCCTCCCTCTGCTGAGGGTTTGCAACCCCCAAGCACTTCACCTCCTGGCTAGGGAGGTCACAGCTCTCTGAAGCAAACCAGGCACCACAGTTTGAAGGCACTTCTGGAACTGTTTCACCACGGAGCTGATGACTTCCAGCAGCCCCCACAGCTTCTTCATCCTGCAGAGACAAAAATCAACAGGCAGATTTGAATCCCCAGTAAATGCAGCAAGAAGGGGAGGGTGTTGAAGGCAGGTGAAGGCTGCAAGAGTCTGTTCCAGGACCAAGCCAAGCTGGGCTGGTGGGACGTGTCCCTGCTCACAGCAGGGAGGCTGGAACCTGATGATCTTTAAGGTCCCTTCCAACCTGAACCATTCTATGATTCTCTGGTGGTCCTGCTAGATGTGTTCCTGAGAGCTTGTCCTCAGGGAACACAACCCTCCTGCAGAGGAAGGGGGTGCCAGTGAAGCTATTTATGCAGCAGATGGGCACCAGCCTGCCCTGGTCTGGAGGCTGCCCTGTGTGTTTCCCACGGAGCTGCCATCCCATGGAGCTGTCATCCCATGGATCTATCATCCCATGGAGCTGCCATCCCATGGATCTATCACCCCATGGAGCTATCATCCCATGGATCTGTCATCCCATGGATCTATCACCCCATAGAGCTGCCATCTGAAGGCTGCTGCAGCCCATCCCCAGCACTGGGCTCAGAGTTCATGCTCATCTTGCACCAAGTTTATAATAGATATTAGGCAACATTCTTCACCCAAAGGGCTGTCAGGCCCTGGCCCAGGCTGCCCAGGGTGGAGTCCCCATCCCTGGAGGGGTTTCCAAGCCCTGGAGATGGTGCTGAGGGACACGGGGCAGTGGTGGCCTTGGCAGGGCTGGGGGAAGGGTTGGACTGGAGGATCTGAAAGGGCTTTTCCAACCAAAACAATTCACTGATTCTGTGACTCTCAGCTTTGATGTCTCTGCCCTGATGTTCTTACCCCTTCCTGACAAAAGCTGGCAGCCTGTAGGGCTGCAGCAGGAGCTTGGAGAGTGGATCTTGCAGTCCAGCCACCTGCTCCTTCCTCCAGGGAGCCAAACCTGTGCCCGGGAAGGACAACACAGAAGTCAATAAAGACCAGTCATTAGAAATAACCCAAGAAATGCAATAATTCCTCTTGTCCAGCAACTCTTGGCTTGCAGCTCTTGCAGCTCCTGCAGCTCTTGCAGCTCTTGCAGCTCAGCCCACAGGAGCTGAAGCCCAGGCTGGAGCTGCTCTTACAAAACTCTCTTTTCAAGCAGCAGGTCCAGAAATATCGACTAGAACCGGGATCTCCAGAAAATCCTCCACGTCCTCGTGCTCCTCCCCCACTGCAGCAGCCCCAGCCACCCCCAGAGCCCAAGGTCAGTGCCCCAGACCCTCTACCTGGCAGGAGGCAGGGAGGCAGCCCCCGGGGGTCCCTGGTGCCCAGGCTGGGCCGTGTCCCCCTGGGAGGTGCCGGGTCCTTCTTCCCGCACAGGACGGAGAAGCGGAAGTTGCCGTCAAAGTAGTTGAAGCCAAAAGCATCTGGGAGAGGTGGGGAAGAAAAGGCTGATGGTGGCATCTGTGTCACCCTTCTAGGCTGCTCTTTCAGGTCTTGGGGTGATACTTAACTGTTCCTGTACAGGAAAAGGGCAGTGTCCTGGTAGCCTTGGGAGAAAATGTCGTCCAGGACCTGCAGGAGAAACACTTGAGGTCACTCAAGGAGCCTCCATCCAGGCAGGAGGATCCAGCACCTGCAGGGCCTGCAGGGAGGCTGGGGAGGAGCTGCTCACAAGGACATGTAATGATAGGACAAGGGGTGATGGTTTTAAGCTAGAAAAGGGTAGACAGAGGTTGGACATTAGGGAAAAGTTCTTTCATATGAGGGTGGTGGATCAGTGGCACAGGTTGCCTGGAGAGGTGGTGGAGGCTCCATCCCTGGAGACATTCAAGGTCAGGCTGGATGGGGCTCTGAGCAATGTGGTCTAGTTGGAGATGTCCCTGCTTATTGCAGGGATTTGGGCTAGGTGACCTTTAGAGGTCCCTTCTAACCCAAGACGTTCTCTGATTCTATCCAAGGCTGTTTGGCCACAGAGGGTTGGGATGGCCCATTTGGGAAGGCAACAAGCACAGGTTGGTTTCCAGCCACCCAGGTGCTGGTCCTTTTTGGGTTGTCAAACCAGGGGGGACCCTCATCCCAGCTTGGTCACCCATCAGAAACACCCACTGCAGAACCAGCACTGCACCCTCCCCTTGAGACCTCATCAATGAAAGATGGAGACGGAGCTGAACCTTAAAGCTTGGGAAGGCAGGTCCAGCATTAATTGAACCAACACTAAGCTGGGAAGAAGAAGAGGCTCCAGGGAGACCTGAGAGCAGCTTCCAGTGCCTGAAGGGGCTCCAGGAAAGCTGGGGAGGGACTTGGGACAAGGGCAGGGAGGGATGGGATGAGGGGGATGGATGAAAAGTGGAAGAGGGTGATGGGCTTACCATGCTGCTGGGTGGGAAGAGAGCATAGCTAATCCTGCAGAGGTTTTCTATGGAGATCTGAATGCTGCCATTGAAGATATGGAAGCAGAAGAAGATAGCAGGACAATCCCGTGGGCAGATGTCCAGCTCTCCTGTGAAGGGGGACACGGTGATCACAGCTTCCTCCAAGCTGGAGACAGGCTGCAGGCCAGTGAATCCTCCATCCACGTATCTCTGAGGGGAAGAGGAAAGGGAGGGGTTGCTCTGAGAGGAAAGCAAGGAGCTGCCAAGGTGACATCTCCTGCCATGGGCCAGTCCCATCACGTCCTCTCTGCCCACTCATATATCATAGAATCAGATCATAGAATGGTTTGGTCGGAAGGGACCTTCAAGATCATCCAGTCCCACCCCCTGCATGGGCAGGGACCCCTCCCACCAGCCCAGGTTGCTCCAAGCCCCATCCAACCTGCCCTTCAACACTGCCAGGGATGGGGCAGCCACAGCTTCCCTGGGCAACCTGGGCCAGGCTCTCACCACCCTCACACCAAAGAATTCCCTCCTCATCTCCAACCTCAATCTCCCTCTCCCACTTTTCATCCATCCCCCTCATCCCATCCCTCCCTGCCCTTGTCCCAAGTCCCTCCCCAGCTTTCCTGGAGCCCCTTCAGGCACTGGAAGCTGCTCTAAGGTCTCCCTGGAGCCTTCTCTTCTCCAGGCTGAACACCCCAACTCTCCCAGCCTGGCTCCAAGAGGTGCTTGTTAACTAAAGGAGGAGCCTGGACACCCACATCCCTCTCTGCTCAAGACAATGTGAAGTTCAAAGCCAAGAACATCCTGCTGGGAGTGCATGTTTTATTGGAAGTGTCACTCACCACTCCTCGGTAGGATGGAGGGATGAATCCACAGTAGATGGGAAGGAAGCAGCTGCAGACAAGAGCCTGGGGGAGGACAGGGATTGCAGAAGTCAGTGTTCCAGTCCAAGCTCTCCTGGACAAAAGCTGTTGACTGAGTGCTTACAAATTCAGGCCTGACTAATGGTCTGGAGCTCAGCAGTTGGTGCCACCTGGACTTTGCACTTGACTGTGTCAAGAAGGAAGGTTTCAAGAAGGGGAAAACATGAAGCTGAAACAGTTCTCTTGAGCAGGCTCTTTGTGGTTTATTCTTACAGCTGCCAACACTATTGGGGATGTGTGTCTACACCCCACTGCCCAGACACTGCCCTTTGATGGTGACAAGGTGAAGCTTTGGGGTCCTTTTTTTTTTCTATTTGTGGGGTTTTGGACAAAACCACCATGTCCTCACTGTCCATTTTCAGCCTGCTGGGATTTGTCAATGAACCAGCCACTGCTGGGCCCATTTGCAACCATTTCCCACCACTGTCATCAGCTGGGAATGAGCATCCCAGGCTCCTGGGCAGGACCCATGGGATGAACTCCCAACATCTCCATGGGCTTTGCCATCCTCTACTGGCTCCCTGGGACAAGCAAACCTCGTGGTCAGCTCTGTTGAGGGTTTTACCCTGAGATCCTTTCTGCAGCAGCTAATTTCCTGGTTCATCAGCTGCCTGTTGTTTGGCACCAGGGGTGTGTGTGCAGCTCTTTCCTCCCAGGCAATGAAAAGAATCCCTGCCAGCAGGACTTGGCCAAGGACACACTTCTCCAGGAAGCTGAAGGGTCATATTAACATGAACACAACTCTTTGCAAAGAGTTATTAGCACTTATTAGACCTGGCCAGCACCTCAGCATCAGCTTTTTGAGGCTGGAAACAAACCTGCTTTTTTTTTAACATGATTTCTTCCTGCCTGACTGCAGAGCTCACCTCTTCCTCCCTCCCCCCAGACCTCATGGAGCTCACTGTGGTGGGACCACAGCTCTGGCAGAGCTCCTTGAAACTCCCCATCATCTTGGGTAGAAAGAAGTGCAGTTAAAATTAGGTGCCTCCACCTCAAGCAGCAGGTAGAGATCTTCCTAAAGCATCAGAGGAAGGTCCCTTTACCTGGATGAGATCCTCGTTGGAGCTGAACTCAGAGACCATGACATTCTGTCCATCCATGACCCGTGTGAGTGAGATGTGCAGCCTCCCTGAAGCCAGTTGGTAGGAGTCCTTTGGCAGCATCCTCTGCAGAAGAGCCCTGATAGTGGCCAGCAAGCTGCACTTGGGAGACAGAGGGCCCAGGATGGTTTTCCTGGCTTCCATGGTCAGGGTAAAGAAATATTCCTTCATGTCATCTGACACAGAGGTGAGGGGGAAAGAGAAAGAAAGTCAGTGATATCCCTGACAGTTACACTTGAAATCCTGTTGCCCAGGGAAGCTGTGGCTGCCCCATCCCTGGCAGTGTTGAAGGGCAGGTTGGATGGGGCTTGGAGCAGCCTGGGCTGCTGGGAGGTGTCCCTGCCCATGCAGGGGTGGGACTGGATGATCTTGAATGTCCCTTCCCACCTAAACCAGTCTGGGATTCTATGATGATTCTATGAGTTTTGACACTCCTCAAAAATAAAGCCTCCTGGGCACCACCCCAGGGTGCAGTGGGGGACATTGTGTCAGGAGAGGAAGGGGGAGATGGCCCCCAGGTTGTCCTCAAAGGACACCCCACTGGTGAAGTCCCCAGGCTGGAGGTGGGTGCATGACCAGGGATTAGGGAAAAGCTCCAGAGAGCCCCAGGCACAGGGGCAGACACCAAGTTCCCAGTGCCAGTGTGATCTGCACGACCCATTCCTGCCTTCCACCTCCCAGCTCATACTGGGATGGCTCAAGGGTGAGGAGGAGGAGCAGAATCCTACCTGCTCTGCTCAGAGCTCTCCTGCAGACCCAGCCCTGTGCTGGGACTCCCTTTGCATCCAACCTCCCCTGGAGACCCTGGAGCTCTCCTGGTGACCCTGGAGCTCCCCTGGAGACCCTGGAGCTCCTCTGGGGACCCTGGAGCTCCCCCGGAGACCCTGGAGCTCCTCTGGTGACCCTGGAGCTCCCCTGGAGACCCTGGAGCTCCCCTGGAGACCCTGGAGCTCCTCTGGGGGCCCTGGAGCTCCCCTGGTGACCCTGGAGCTCCCCTGGAGACCCTGGAGCTCCCCTGGAGACCCTGGAGCTCCCCTGGTGGCCCTGGAGCTCCCCTGGAGACCCTGGAGCTCACCTGGTGACCCTGGAGCTCACCTGGTGACCCTGGAGCTCACCTGGAGACCCTGGAGCTCCCCTGGTGACCTTGCAGCCAGGACTAACAGTCATTACATGTGTCTACACGCCCAAAAAGCTGGGTTAAAGGGGCAGAGCTGCAGGAGGAGCAGTCCAAGGAGACACCAGAGTTGAAAGGCTGCCCAGGGATGGGGGGTGCAGCAAACCCTGCTCCCAGCCTGGCCCTGGGGAGGGAGCTGGAATGGGGAGCTGGTTTGGGGAACACCCCACCTGGGGCAGGTGAACTCTGCCAGCAAAAGGCTCCTCTGGCTCCCAGTGCTGCCCAGAGCCAACCTTGCAGCTGGGTGGGCTCCCCAGGACCCAGCACAAGGCCAGGGGGGTTTGCCTGAGCTCCAGGGCTTTGGAGGTGCCAAGGTCTCCAGGCTGTCTCCTGCTTCACACCCACGGGCAGATGGATCAGATGGAGTGTCCCGAAGGCAGGTGGAGCAAGACAGGTATTAAGAGAGGTGATAGATGTTGGAGAGGATGTTCAGCCCATGTGTGGTGGTGATTAATGCTCAAGGGGTTAATGCAGGGTCCTCGGGGAAGCCAGAAGACCCAGAGACCAGAGCAGGGGTGAACCTGCCAGGCACTGTCTGGCTGCTCTGTGAACTGTAACGGGGGGAAAAGCTGGTAAACCTGGGACTGTCCCCCCTGCCCCAGCTTGCTGGTGACAAACGTGTGCTCAGGAGGTGACCTGTGGCAGGGGACAACCTGTCTTGGAGAGCTCAGAGCTCCTGATGCTGCCCAGGTCAGGACAGGGGCAGGAACACAACCACAACCCCCTCATAGGACCCCCCAGCAGTAGCCAAGCACAACTTTAAGTCTCTTTTTGACCCAATGTGAATCTGACAGACTTTTGTGCCACCTTCATTTGCCTTATGAGAAACCCAACCAGAGTCACCACTACCTACAAGGTCTTGTCTTCCTTGGGGGAACATGTTTTGGGCACAAAATCATCTCAGCATGGATGGTGATGCCACCCCTGGTTTCAGCAGTGGTGCCCACAGCAAGAACAGTTCCCAAAATCATTTATCCCAAACAGCCCCAGCTCCACCCAGTTCCACCAGAATCAGAGAGGAAAGTTTTGGGGCCCTTACTGGTTTGTAGAGGAGTTCTCTACAGGTTCATTTCTGCTTGGTCCAAACATCTTTGTCAAAGTTGTAAATTATTTTTAGTCCTAGCAGAGCAGTTCCAGCATCTACCAGAGGTTTTAGGAACTGTGTGTTTCCTCCCTGCTCCCTCCATCATTTTTTGGACCCCTGAACTTCTCCTAAATGTCCCCATTGCTTAAAGCAGGGCTTGGATCAGACTTTGAGGACTTAAGTCTTGTTTACACTAATTGGAAGTAGGGGAGGATGTGATTATTAGAAGTGGGTTAACCACTTGGAATTAATTCTACACGTAGATTATTGCTTTGAGGATGACCAAGCACCAAAACAGGCTGCCCAGACAGGTTCTGACATCTCCTTCTCTGGAGATATTCAAAACCCATGTGGACATGAGCCCATAAAACCTGCTCTGGGGACAACCTGCTTCAGCAGAGGGGTTGGACTAGATGATCTCCAACACCACCACACACACACACTGGGATTCTGGGATCTTACTGCTAGAGGGACCTGTTTCCATGTTGTTTAAAGAGGTTGAGGGTGAAGCCTCTTTTACAGCAGCCAGAGAAGCCCCAGGGTGGAGCAGGGACCCTGTTCCCCCAGGAACCTCCTGCTGATGAGCCCAAGGGGGAAGATGCTGCACTGCCTGGAAGTGGGAACTGTGCCACATCTTCCCTTGTGCTGGGAAGGCTGGGTGGGATAACCCAAAGCCACCTGCAGACACGTTGGCTCTACAGACACCTCTGTGGCTGCCACTCGTGTCCCTTCCCAGCTCAGGATGCCAAGGCACCTGCTCTGCAGGTGACAAGGAGCTTTTACATGGATATACCCACCCAACTGCAGCCACACAGACCTGCTTGGGGACACATCTCACCACTCCCTAGACCTTGCAGAAGAACAAAGAGATCTGCTCCTTCAGCAGAAGCAGGAAAATGAGGCAATGCCATTCAGGTGTGGCCACATTTCCCTGTGCTCTATCTCCCTGACCATCTCAGGTCACATTCAGACACCAACAACCAGCTGGCGCAGCCCACGCCACCCAACCTTGCCCTGGGGTGGCTGCCAGAAGGGCAGGTGACTTTTCCACCAGTGCTTTAAGGCTTTTAGCTCCTCTCTTTCTCTTTGGAAAGGAACCAAAGCTCCAGGCAGGAGGTGTGGGCAGTGGGTTTCTTACCCAGGCCGATGTTGCACACGACGGCGGCGGCGATGAGGGAACCGGCCGAGGAGCCGTAGACCTTGCAGGCAGATCTGAGGAGCTCAGGAGCCAATTCCAGGAGAGACTGCACCACCCCAACCTGGTACATGGCGAGGAAGCCACTGCCTGAGAAGGAGAGGGAGAAACGGGTGCTGGGACCCCTCAGAGCCTCCTCAGCCATCTCCAGATCTAATCCGGCTCGACGTCTCCCCTTGTCCTTTTTCACCGGGTGAAACTCAAGGTGTCTTCTCCTCTTGCTTTCTCCAAGCTCATCTCTGGCTGCAGAGGAGTCCAGAAGATGGATTTCCAGCTCCCTTCAGGGCAGCTCCTCGGGGTGGTCACATTCACCAGCTGATGTAATTACTGCCTGTGCTAAAAACAGAAGTTTTCCTGTGATCAAAACAGCCCTTGTAATCCCCAGCCACAGGCAGCTCTGGTGCTCAGGGCTGAATCCAGGCTCCCCTTTTATCCCAAGGGATCTGAAATCCTCCAGGAGCCCTCCCAGAGATGCTCCCTGCCTTCCTGGTCCCATCCAACTTGGAAACGTCCACGTCAAATTTCCCCTTTGCTTCGTTCTCCCCTCCCCAGGGGTGTTCTCCTAAATAGGATTCCCCATCAATCCCAGCTTAGGCACAGCTCAGTTCTGAGTGAGGAGAGGCTTGTGTAAGACACTTGAAGGCAGGGGGTGTTACACAAGGGGAGGATGCAGGGCGGTGCCCTGGGTTAGGTTTGGAAAGACTCCTTTGATTTGCTCCCTATTCTAAGGGTTTTGTCCTCCCCTGCCTCTTGGGCAACCTCTGAGGGGGTGAAAACAAGGAGCTGGGGTTGCTTCCAAACGTGGTGCTCCAGGAGCATCTCCAGGGTGCAAACCCTGAGCAAGCTGAGCTGGGAGATGTTCTCCCCCAGGTTCTCCTTTGGGCATCTTGTCATCATTTCTTCCCTTTCAGCTGCCACGAAGCAAAGCATCCAATGAGATCTTCTGTTTCCAGAGCCAGAGGGTGAAGGACCATGCAGTGGCCATGAAGAAGCTGTTATTCCTGCACAGAGATAAGTGAGTATCTCCATGGGGAGGTCCATGGTGAAGATTCCTTACCCCCAAAAGCTGGTAGCTCAGACCTGTGAGGACTTCATGACATGTTCAGGCATCCCAGGCTCTCCTTGGAATCCTCAGACCCCAAGAGGAGCTGGGTTTTGGGGACCCACCTTGGGGTTAATCCCAGAATGACCTTGGTTGGAAAAGACCTTCAAGACCATCGAGTCCACCTGTTTGTGCCCTTGGTTCTGCCAGCCCAGGGGGTCACACTGGGGTAGGTTTGTTGCAGCCACGTGGCAGCATTTCCCACAAATCACCCCCTTCTGCAATTAATGACAAGGAGGTGTAAGGAGGGGTTGTGCAAATTCCACCCCACATCCTCCCCCGCTGAGAGCCCAGGACAGTGTCCCAGGGGACAACACCCTCCCTGACCTGGTGCCACGGTCCCGTGAGATGAAACCTTGTCATCATCCTCTTAGCACCAGCAAATTTTGCATTAATTGGCTCATTAAGTGCTGGGCTGGTTTCCTCAGCTGCCCTCCCCTTCCTGGTACTCAGCAGAGCAGGATTAGGGAGGACTAGGGGGCCTGGGGAGGCCAGAGCCCAAAAGCAGCCTGAGATGCTTTCAGGAGAACCCCCCTGGCTCACAGGGGCTGGGAAGGGCACTGGGCCTGGACAGGATCCGTGCCCAGTTGGCCAGTGTCCATGATCCCAGGGATTTTCAGGCAAGGGGAGGGATTGTCTTGGCTGTCTGAAGCCACCACAGGGTGTCTGGGGAAGGATGAAGGTAATACCCAGAGCTGGAAACCGATCAAAACCCTGGGGCTAAGAACATGTTGTTCTTTATTACCTTCTTAATGTCTTTGCTGGCCACAGGCGACCAGGGTCTCAATTTTATAACCAAGAGATTAAGCCAAGATGCTGGAGTAGCTCAGGAGAAGGGACCTGAGCTCTGAGAGCCACCAGCCCTGGGTGGCTGCAGTGACAGCAGCTGTGGCTGCTCCCATCCCCATGGACCCCCATCCTTGCTTTGGGTTGGTTCCTCTGGGACTAGAAGCAAGAGGCTCCTGCAGGTTTTGCTCCTGGTTTCTCCACCACTGCTGCCCTGATGGGTGGGGGAAGACCCAGCGACCACAGGAAGAGGACATTTGGTTCAGCCATGATAGCAGGAAAAGCAAAGGAGAAGGAAAAAGGGGGAGATGAGCAGTTTTTCTCAGCAGGGGTTTGCCTGGTGGGTGCATCCCACCCACTGAGGGAAGGACAATGTCCCTCAGGAGATCAGGAAGGAGACAAAACCCTCTTCTGCTCCATGCAAATCCCAACCCACACCTGGCTCCACAGGAGCTCCCATGCAAAACCAACAGGGACATGATGTGATCCTCCCTCCAGGTCCCCACCACGTCCCCACCTCACCCTGCCCAGGTCACAGGAGCAAACAGACGAGAGCAGTTTCAGTTTCTCCTGCAGTAAAAATGTCCCAGGTGCTTTCCTGGCCTCAAGGAAACCTGGGGCTGACACCTGCTTGTTGCTGGCATCACTGGGCAGGACCCAGGAGTGGGTTTTTCACAGTCCTAATGACCCTAAATTAGACAGAGCCCCTGCAAGGTGTCCCCCTCCGTGGGGCAGCTGGTGGCTCAACCCTCAGCAGCTCCATCAAGTGTTCCTGAAAGGCTCCACAAATGGGGCATGTTGAGCAGTGTGGGGAGGAGCTGCTTCCTCCTTCCCCCAGGCTCTGCTTCCCCAGTTTGTTTTACTTTGGGTTTTTCAAGGACTGAAGAGACCAGACCCTCCAGGAGAGGAGAAGCTGGGCAGGCAGCAGCTGTCCCTGGTGGCCTAGAGGGGACTGTCACCCCCTGCGTGGCACTGAGCCAGACCTGCAGCTTTCTTTGTCACCATCATCACCTTGAAACCCCCCCACACCTCTTTGCACCCTACGAGCCCCAAAATGTTGTCCCTTTCAGACCTCCCAGGGTGGTGGGTCTGACCTTGGCAAGGGAGATGCTCCTGCTGGTGGCACCACGCTGAGCACTGGCCACGTCCCCAGCCCTGAGCTGCCTTAATCTCTGACCTGACTTAGAGACCTGGGCAAAGATAAAGCTTGGAACATTCCCAACAATTAGAACTTAATCCCTTTGACATTTCACATCTTCTTAGGCCTTGTAGGTGAGACCCTAACAGCTGTAAATCCCCTTGGTCCTCCAGGGACCAGCAGCTTCTGCATCCCTGGGGGAACAAGCTTTGCCCCATTCTTGGTGTCAGATCAAGCTCTTTTGGTCAAGAAATCTCCTTCTTCTGGAAAGGGAATGGCTGTGGACAGGGAAAAATAGCAGGACCACACTATGTGTCTGTGGTAAGACTCCTCTTTGTGCCACTTTGCATCTGGCTTGGAAGGAGCAGCCCACAACAGCAAAGTTATCCCTGGATAACACATCACCCAGTAGACAAGGCTGGTTGCCAGTTTGGGACCAGTTTATTGGAGTTTTAGGGTGTTGTTTTGGTTTGTTTTGTTCCTCAAGTGGACACTTGACTGGCAGGAGAAGCTACAAAAGTTCCTTGCTGTGCATTCACAGAGAGGTCTAGAAAAGCAGGTAAATAAATACACAAACACAACCAAACCACGAGGTTCTACCTTTGGTCAGAGCTCAAATGCAAACCCAGGGTGAAATCTGGGGCTGCTTTCACTGACAGGCTCTTTGCCCCCAGCCAGCTGGGGTCTAAGCTACTGTGGCTCTTGCTGTGGTTCTCCTGAGAAGGATTTTTCAACCCCACAAGCTCTGAAGATCACCCCATGTCCAGGTGGCCAACAGGGTCTGTCAAGTCAATCCACATCCTTGGGTTCCTGGCACCTCAGGCCCTTGGGAGCAGCTGGTGTCAGTCAGGGCTGTCACTGCTCTCTGTGCTGAACGTTCCTCTGTTCTGCTGGGACAGAAGGAAAAACATCCATCAGGTCCATCTCCCACACTGAGCTGGGGTTATTGGTCTCCTAGATGGGTTTAGGAGGGAATTCTCCCCGAGGGAAGCTGTGGTTCCACCAGGTCGCAGCAATGTCCAGGCACCTCCCAGCTGTGGAGATGCAGGGAGCAAAGTCCTGCTCCTGGGGTGTGCAAGGACCACGCTCACCTTGGGGGAAGGCAAAGGCACCTCAACCAGCATGAGGCAAATTCCAGCACCCATTCACCCTCCCAGTATAAACCAGCATGACTGCTACCCACCCAGCTCTCTCCACCAGCCTAAAATGACCCCACACTGAGCTGGATGCTCAACCCTGAGCTTCTCCTACCTACCTGGAGGATTTTGCTGTAGGACAAGGGTGCAAATGAGTCTTCCAGGTAGCGGGTGCCAAAGCCCATGACCCTGTTGACTGCCTGGTTGCAGATGCCTGCCACCCTGGCTGTGAAGTGGACTGCAAAGGCAAACTGGATCTCTTGGGGGTTGACGTTGGGTCTGCTGCCCGTCAGCTCCTGCTGGACGTAGGAATCAGCCAGGTCCTTGAAGGAGCTGTAGGACATGTCTCTGAAGAACACCCAGAGCCGGGGGTCTTCCTTCATCTGGTGGAAGAGCAAGTGAAAAGAGGTGTTAGAAGCAAAGCCCTTGGTGTGTCACCCCAGGGTTGGTGCCTTCACTCCCCACCAGGAAGGAGGACAGACAGACAGACAGACACCATCACACCCCGTCGGGGAATGAGAAGGTGTCATTGCCTTGATTTTATGCTGTGTTTCCCAGCCCCAGGGGAGTCAGGAGTGGGTTTAGATCTCACAGTAGCACAGAACTTGGCCCAAATCCCTTCCACCCTCAGGGCAGCTCTTCTCTCACCTGCCTGTCCAGCTCATCTCCTGCACTCTGGAGCAGGGCCACAATTCTCTTGATGGCCTCCTCTGCAGGGAGAGATCCCACGTTATTCCAGCCCCTTCTCCCAGCCCCACACCCAGACCCTTTAGGGGGCTGCACAGTCTGTTTAGCCCCCTCTGAAAAATGTCCTCAGCACCGTGTGTCCATCCCTGCCAAACCCATTCCAGCCTCTTGCCTCTTGTGAGGCAGCAAAAACACCCTCCTGCCTTGGAACTTCTCCCTCCACAGAACAAACCCTGATGCTGAAAACCTCCCCCAAAGTCTCCATAGGACTGTTTGGGTCACAGAAGCCACTGAGACAGGATTGATGTAGGGTTAGGGTCCCTGTTTGGGTCACAGAAGGCCCTGGGATGGGAATGAAGTGGGGCTGGGGTCCCTGTTTGGGTCACAGAAGCCCCTGGGACAGGATTGATGTAGGGTTGGGGTCCCTGTTTGGGTCACAGAAGCCCCTGGGATGGGAATGAAATGGGGCTGGGGTCCCTGTTTGGGTCACAGAAGCCCCTGGGACAGGATTGATGTAGGGTTGGGGTCCCTGTTTGGGTCACAGAAGCCCCCAGGACAGAGTTTCAGTGGGGTTGGGGTCCCTGTTTGGGTCACAGAAGCCCCTGGGACAGGACTGAAGTGGGGCTGGAGTCCCTGTTTGGGTCACAGAGGTCCTGGGGCACGATTCATGTAGGGTTGGGATCCCTGTTTGGGTCACAGAAGCCCCTGGGACAGGATTGATGTAGGGTTGGGGTCCCTGTTTGGGTCACAGAAGCCCCTGGGACAGAGTTTCAGTGGGGTTGGGGTCCCTGTTTGGGTCACAGAAGCCCCTGGGACAGGATTGATGTAGGGTTGGGGTCCCTGTTTGGGTCACAGAAGCCCCTGGGACAGGATTGATGTAGGGTTGGGGTCCCTGTTTGGGTCACAGAAGCCCCTGGGACAGGATTGAAGTGGAGTTGGGGTCCCTGTTTGGGTCACAGAGGTCCTGGGGCACAATTGAAGTGGGGCTGGGGTCCCTGTTTGGGTCACAGAAGCCCCTGGGACAGAGTTTCAATGGGGCAGGAGTCCCGTGCAGGTTCTGCATGGGGCCAAATCTCTCCCCACTGGTTTCTGTCCGTCCCAGGGATGAAGCAGCTCAGGGGACACCACTCACCGACCCCCTGGTCGCCTGGGGGCTGCTCCCCACGTCCTCTGCCCCCCTCACTGCCCTGCACCAGCAGCCCAACCTCTTCTGAGACTCGTGTGTAGAAACCATCAGGCTGCTCCTCATCTGCTGGAAATGAAGAGAAAAAACTCCAACTTCAGAAACAATGAGATTTGGGTTTTTAATCTTCTTTTCTTTTCTTTTTTTGACATGGATTGAAAAGGGAAAAGCAGCTGCCCTGGTGGTGGCCACATCCAGGAGGTGCTGGTGCCCACCCTGGGTAAGTGCTGAGCTCAGTGACCCGTGAGGGACTTTGAATCCCCCAAAGATTCTTCAGAGAAATCCTCTTTGCCAGCTTTTTGTCAGCAGAAGGGCTGGAGCAGGGGCTGGGGTGTCCCACGGGATGTGCCTGCACCCTGAGGAGCTGGGATGGGTTGCCCAGGGAGGTTGGTGATGCCCCATCCCTGGAGGTTTTGAAGACCTTTGGACAAGGTTTTGTGCAACCTGGTCTAGTGGGAGGGTTCCCTGCTCACGGCAGGGGGGTTGGAACTTGATGATCTTCAAGGTGCCTTCCAACCTTAATGATCCTATGATTCCCTGCAGCAAACCCAGAGCAGCTTCACCTTGTCCCCAGAGTGGCTTGAGATTAAATCCCACTTCCAACTAAACCAACATATCCCTTGTTGGCCAGAGGGGAGGAAAACCTGTGCCTGGGTGGGGTAACCTGCTGATGGACCCTCCCCTGGGGCAGAAGGTTGAGAGCAGAGTCTCCAAAACCGACCCCAGAAAGCAAGAGGAGGGTGATGCTGAGGGGGCAGGAACCAGCACCAAGCAGTGATGCTTTGGCAAAAGAAGCCCCATGGAGGCCTCGTTGGCCATAGGGGTGGGTTAGGGGAGGGTTAGGGGAGGGTTAGGGGAGGGTTAGGGGAGGGTTAGGGGAGGGTTAGGGGTGGGTTAGGGTTAGGGGTAGGGTTAGGGGTTAGGGTTAGGGTTAGGGTT